AATTTCTTTTGAGAGCCAAATTTTTTAAACTTAACCTGTATAGGTAGGTACATTGTTATTAACTTAATTAGGGTACTCCTAAGCTGGCATTTGCTAAAAACGTCCTCAATCTGATTGAGGTACCTTCGCTGAGGTCGACCCCTTCCAACTCTCCCATCCACACTCATCTTGTATACTTGTTTTGTCTATCTCCTTTCGTTCATCCTCTCTATATGTCCAAACCATCTCAACATACCTTTCTCAATCCTCGACACTACATCTTCTTTCACTCCACAACGTTCCCTAAAATTAACTTAATAAACTTTACTTGAAGTTTTAAGTCAACTTCGCACTGTACGTTCGCGCCCCCATGTGGTACTTTGGGGAAGAGCCACACTCAAGGGGCCAAAGAGCCACAGGTGGCTCGTGAGCCGAGGTTTGCCGACCACTGAGCTAGGGCAACAACCAGCATTTTTTAATGATTGCATGGAATTCAGGGGAAGGAGGCTACCATCACTTGACCATTATGAACATATAGTGTGGTGGGCAGTTACACAGACAAGAGCAGAGCAAGGACCAGGTGCAGAAGGTCACCAGGGTGGCGAGCAACCGGCAAAACTGGAAAACAAGGACCTCACCCCAGGGTGACCTTTCCTCCCCTAGGGTCAGGGCCAGCCTGACAGGTTGAACCGGGCTGAGGTAGGGAGGTGGGAATTGAGAAAAGAGAGACAGGAGAGCGGGATCGGGAGGACTACAGATCAATCGAGGAACTGCAGCAAGTTTATTAACCACGCAATGCCTTTTATACACAAAACACTGAATAGGAGGTCTGTCAAGAGGAATGTATTCTTTGTTCCTCTTCATCTCTAAGGGAGAGACAGAGCAGAAGGACAAATTCTCGGTACAGCAAACCTCAGGAAATAGTTACAGACTTCTTGGTAAGCCAGGAAAGGCTGTTCTCATTCTACAAAGGTTGCTCTCATTCTACTGATAACCGCCATCCAAACAAGTCTGGGAAAACTGTGTGGGTAAGGGTCCCAGCCTCGCTACCCCTTCAGGTGCAGGGACCGTGTCAGCTTACACCCGGTCCCAACAGATCCCCCTTCTTTGTTTTTTAGGCGAAGTTCATGTAGTCCTGTTTGCAGGGATCGGATGCTGGATCCGATGGTTCAGAAGCAGACTGGAAGTAAACAGAGAATAATGAGAGCAAGGATAACAACAATTAATAGAGACCAAATAAAAGACTGTAATCCATGAAAGGACATGAGGCTTTGAATTTCATTAAAAATATTCTGTGCTACTTCGCTAGGAGGCAACAGAGCAGAACCTGCATCTTTAATAGCTTGAATCTGTCCATGTAATCTATTGATGTCTAAAGTAAAGTTAGTCTGATCCCAAACTCCTAACAGGTGGTTACGAACCCAATCCCAATACCACATAGTACCATTATATATCTTAGGAGTGACACAAATCCAATCAAACTCAGCAAGACACCGAAAGGTAGAACACACTTTCAAGCTGTGCATTTGATCTCCTATAAGGAGCACAGCTTCTCCTAGTGCATTGAGCCTTTGTTCTATTTTTTTATCTATGAGCTCTTGAGCTCCTAAGGCATCCGAAACATTTTCCCCAAGCCATCCACAAAATGAGTGTGTGTATTTCCTGGGTTAAAGCTATGGCTGCAGTAGTGGCAGTAGCAATGAGGGAGAATAGAGCCACGAGGCCAGCAATAAGCACTCCGATGAACCTCTTAGGGCAGCTTAGCAAACCATTCAGTTCCCTTAATACCTGGGAGCCTGTATCCTTGTACCAAGGTCCGGTAATATTAACTGGGAGCATGACAAAGGAAGGCTGATGTAATACAACCACCTCATAACCAAAGGTGTATCTAGACACACAGTTAGACTAGTTACAGTGAATACAAGAAATTGTATACAAGTTGCCCTTAAGTACAATATCTGCAATTCCAATAAGGAGAAGGTAAGGAGGAGGTACACAAGCAGTAAGACCTGTGATCACTGTAAGGTTATCATGATGCAAAGAAATGCTACCTAAAGCGGCCATAAGCCACGTGATAAACGCTCAACATCTCTCATCAACAAAGAACTGCCAGTTAACACTACAATGAGGGATCTCTCTCACCTGTCACAATGGCTACCATCAGTCGCTCAACAAACAACAGTGCTGGTGAGGACGGGGAGAAAAGGGAACGGGACCCTGGTGTCTGCTGGTGGGAATGCAGACGGTGCGGCCACTGTATGGCGTCTCCACAAAAAGTTGAAAATGGAACTGCCTTCTGCTCCACCGATCCACTCTGGGCACGCTGTACCTGCAGGAACCCACAACGTGAGTTCAAAAGGATATGCACCCCCTGTGTTCATTGCAGCGTATGTACAATAGCCAAGATCTGGGAGCAGCCCCAAGGCCCATCACAGAGGAGTGGCTAAGGAGCTGTGGACGTCTGCACAGTGGAATACCACCGGCCCTAAAACAGACGGAAATCTCTGTGACAGCACGGATGGGCCTGGAGAGCATTATGGTAAGTAAGCCAGACGGAGAAAGACAGGCGTCACATGATCTCACTCCTGTGGACGCTAGTGAACAAAATAAACCAATGAACAAAATAGAAACAGACCGCCCTGGATGGGTGGCTCCACCGGAGCATCGTCCCACACACCAAAGGCTTCAGGTTTGATCCCAGTTGGAGTGATCAGTGTTTCTCTCTCACATCAGTGTTTCTGCCTCTCCCCGCCTCCACCACCACTTCTTCTCTAAAGTCAATGAACATATCCTCAGGGGAGGATTTTTTTTGATAGAGCCCTGGGCAGTGTAGCTCAATGGTTAGAATGTAACACCACACAACAAAGGGTTACGGGTTCGATTCCCAGTCAAGGGCATGTACCTGGGCTTCAGGTTCCATCCCCACCCTAGTAGGGGTGCATTCAGGAGGCAACCCATCAATGTGTCTCTCTCACATCAATGTTTCTCTCTCTCTGTCTCTCTCCCCTCCCTCCCACTCTCTCTAAATTAAAGTCAATGGAAAAATATCCTCAGGGGAGGTTTAACAACAACAACAAAATAGAAACAGACTCATAGATAGAGATCAAACTGACAGCTCTCAGAGGGTGGCCTGTGGGCTGGGTGAAAAGGGTGAAGGGATTAAGCAAAAAAGAAAGAAAAAACACCTCATAGACACAAACAACAGAATGGTGAGTATAAACGGGGAGCAAAGAGAGGTAAGAGGGGGGATAGATGGTGATGGAAGGAGAATTGGCTTGGGGTGGTGAACACACAATACCATATACAGTACAGCTGACATAGAACTGTACCCCTGAAACCTATATAATTTTATTACCTAATGTTACCCCAATACATTTAATTTTTTAAAAGGTACATCAGCCCTAACCGGTTTGGCTCAGTGGATAGAGCAGGGTCCTCAAACTTTTTAAACAGGGGGCCAGTTCACTGTCCCTCAGACCGTTGGAGGGCCGGACTATAGTTTAAAAACAAACTATGAACAAATTCCTATGCACACTGCACATACCTTATTTTGAAGTAAAAAACAAAACTTCAAAAAAAAAAAAAAAGGCTCTCCTAACTTCAAAAAAAAAGGCCCTGCTAACTGCAAAATAAAATAAAAAAAATAGACCTCCTAACTCAGCCGTGGGCAAACTACAGCCCGCGGGCCAGGTCCAGCCCATTTGAAATGAATAAAACTAAAAAAAAAAAAAAGACCTACCATTTTATGTAATGATGTTTACTTTGAATTTATATTAGTTCACAAAAACATTCCATCCATGCTTTTGTTCTGGCCCTCCGGTCCAGTTTAAGAACCCATTGTGGCCCTCGAGTCAAAAAGTTTGCCCACCCCTGTAAAAACAAATAAATCCTAACTTGTTCTTACCTCAGTCCTCAGGCAGCAGCAGGCTCTGCACAGGCAAGCTCATGACTGGTCCGATCACACCAGAGACTGAGAGGAGGAGTCCAGAAACAGAGAGAAGGAGGGGAGTCGGAGAGTGCGGCCCACATTCCACACATGCCTACTGCGGGCCCGGACAAGTCCGCTGCTAAGCAACAGGCAGCGGCAGGCCAGATAAATGTTTTCGGTGGGCCGCATGTGGCCCGCGGGCCTTAGTTTGAGGGCCCCTGGGATAGAGCATTGGCCTGCGGACTGAATGGTCTGGGTTCAATTCCGGTCAAGGGCATGTATCTGGGTTGCAGGCTCAATCCCCGGTAGGTGGTGTGCAGGAGGCAGCTGATCCATGTTCCTCTCTCATCCATATTTCTCACTCTCTACCCTTCTCCCTTTCGCTCTGTAAAATCAATGAAGTATATTTAAAAAATAAAAAGGTACATCCGAGCCCTTTACATTCAACATCGACCACAGCTCTGTCTAGCGATAGCTGAAGACAGGCTACTGAGCCCTCAAACTGAGAGCAGAGGACTGTTTTGAAGCTGATTTCTAAAGCCACGTCCAATCATATACCATCCGGTTGACTTTGTTTGGTCTTCTTTTCACTTGTCTGCACAAGTTAACTAACCACGGTCTACGTGGGTTTTAGCATCACAGCGCACAACTGAGCATTATGAAGATGAACACACGGAGTTGTAAAGTTTCAGTCGCGAAATGAGAGGGAGTTGAATGGGCTTCTCCCACTGCTGGAGTCCTAGCCTGCAGGCTCTCCGTGTGTATTCCCAACCCCAGGCACTCGGAATAATTTTTCAAACCTGACGTACAGTTTTATGTCTTTATTCTTCTATTTCAGTTATTCCAGGCTGTCTTCTGTTTAAAATGCAAATTGAACTTAATCGAAATGTTTTGAAAAGAAATCACTCCACACAAAAATTAAGGACAGGGAAGTTAACTTTCCAGCCTGTTGACCCGTCCTCAGGACAGTAGGAAGCACTGCAGGAATCCGGCTGCACACGTGCCATGGCCTGGCGTCTGTTCTCCACTCAGAGGGACACAGGTCCCTTTGGAATCCGACATGAACTTCTCACTGCACTGTCGTTCACAGTTCAATTCTCTGGGGAGAGAATGCCCACCCTTCGTCTGGACCAGCGGTTCTCAACCTGTGGGCCGTGACCCCTGTGGCGGTCGAACGACCCGTTCACAGCGGTCGCCTAAGACCATCCTGCATATCAGATATTTACATGACGATTCATCACAGTAGCAACATTACAGTTATGAAGTAGCAACGAAAATAATTTTATGGTTGGGTCACCACATGAGGAACTGTAGGTAAAGGGCCAGAAGGTTGAGAACCACGGGTCTAGACTCTTGGCTCTCACTCTGGAGGAGGCATCAGAACCACCTGGAAAGTTGTCCAGCTCCAGCTCCCAGGCTAACTTGCGGCTGGGCCCTGCCCCGGGGTTTCTCATTCAGAGCGTGCTGATGCGCTGGCCCGGACCTCACTGAAGACCCCGGGCTGTGCCCTGTGTCTCATCGCCGCCCCCTGTGCACCGCCCGCTCCGGAAGCCGTCCTGCTCTCCCTGGCGGGTTCGCTGATTCTCACGGCTCCCACCGGACTCTAGCATGACCCTCCCATGTCACTGTTTGCTTGTTTCTCAATGTCCAGGCACAGCTGACCCTTAGAGCACCTGGAAAGAGATGGCAGCTGGGACACAGAGGAGGAGAGGAATGGAAATAGTGCTGAGCCGGCCGGTGTGGCTCAGTGGTTGAGCATCGACTATGAACCAGGAGGTCAAACAGTTCCATTCCCAGTCAGGCACATGCCCTCTGATGGAGGCAGCCGATCAATGATTCTCTCTCATCATTGATGTTTCTATCTCTCTCTGCCTCTCCTTTCCACTCTGAAATCAATAAAATACATATATTATCAACAATATATATATGTAGTCAATAAAATATATATATTTAATAGTGCTGAGTCCTGCGGGCCTGACACTCCACGCTCCGCCCCAGTTCGTCACTGCGGCTGGTCCTGAGGCAGCCACGGCGTCACTAGTCAGGTTTGGCTGCTTTCCTGCGCCTGGAGCGGAAAAGCAACTGAGGCCCAGATGTTATCTTAGGGAGGAAGGTCAGGGGTCTGCACCACGTGACCAGCGCCATGCGGGGAGGAAAGGCTATCCTGGGGGCACGTCCTTGTTTTCCCAGTTCTGCCCGTTGCTAGGCACCCAGCACCCCGCACACCCGTGTACCTCACCTACTGTCCTTGCTCTGCTCCTGTCTGCCTACCCGCCCACCGCCCTCCCAGCATCTTCCGCCCCTCTCAGTGCTCTCTCCACCTCCGAGGGGTAACGCTTATCACCACCATTTCCTCGAACCTGATCCCAGGTTCCAGAACGTGTCCCAGAGCACGGAGACAGGAGCAGGAATCCCGGTGACGCTGGTGTGAGCTTCCCCCGGGGTCAGGGCGTGCAGTCAGGCAGCTCGTGGTGTGACCGAGCGCGGCCTCGGTGCATCGGCTGACCCATCACCCCAGGGATGTCCTCCCAGAGCCTCCGGCGGGGGCTTGTTTGGATGCGGTCATCGCAGATGGAGTGGGGTAAGGGGGGCGTGCTGGAGTGGTCAGCCCGCAAACAGCGTGCCTGGCGTCCTGAGTCACGCAGGGGGAAGAGGCCATGAGATGACGCGGCAGGAGCTGGGGGAGCTGAGGTGAGCTGCCCGCTGATGACCCAGGTGGTCTGAAGACAAGCCGACCACCAGCCCCTCACTGGGCCCAACGTCCCTCCCTCAGACGGCGTCTCCCCCAGGCCCGCCTGACACCACAGGGACAGGGCCAAAGGCCAGGCCTTCACCCATTCCTCACTCAGCAGCCACACCTGCCCCCGGGGTGGGGGACACCCACGGGAAATGCACTACAAGCCGGGCACGAGGGGCCTGGCCCGGCCCGGCTGGGGGAGGGTCCAGCCCAGGGCCGCAGGATGTCCCAACAACACATTTCATCAGAGTGATGCCCAAAGGGGAGGGCAGGGTGTGCAGAGTGGTCCAGCCCTGCCTGTCTCACCCTCCACATCAGTATGGAGCCGGGTCCTTGTATAAAAGGCACCAGGGGCCTCGGTGAGCCATTCCCCAGCCATCGCAGCAGCCAGGAGAAACCCATGGCTCAGGCACCCAAGGCTCAGGCACCCATGGCTGAAGCACCTGAGGCAGAGGCACCCATGGCTGAGGAACCCGAGGCTGTGGTCCCTGTGCTGAGGCACCCGTGGCTGAGGCACCCATGGCTGAAGTACCAGAGGCTGAGGCACCCGTAGTTGATGCACCCATGGCTGAGGCACCCGAGGCTGAAGCACTGCACCCGAGGCTGAGGTACCCGTGGCTGAGTGCTCCGTGGATGCAGCAACTGTGGCTGAGGCACTTGTTGCTAGAGGAACCTGTGGCTGAGGAACCCCTGGCTGAGGCACCCGAGGCTGAAGTACTCGAGGCTGATGCACCCGTGACTGAGGCACCCGTGGCTGAGGCACCCGAGCTGAAGCACTGCACCCAAGGCTGAGGTACCCATGGCTGAGAGTCCCGTGCCTGCAGGAAGTGTGGCTGAGGCACTTGTTGCTAGAGGAACCCATACCTGAGGAACCCGTGGCTGAGGAACCCGTGGCTGAGGAACCCGTGGCTGAGGCACCAGTGGCTGAGGCACCCGAGGCTGAAGCACTGCACCCAAGGCTGAGGTACCCATGGCTGAGGATCCCGTGGCTGCAGCAACTGTGGCTGAGGCACTTGTTGCTAGAGGAACCCATGGCTGAGGCAGCGCACCCATGGCTGAGGCACCCGTGGCTGAGGCACCCGTGGCTGAGGCACCATGGATAACCTGATGGGACAGGAGGCGGGAGTGGGGAGGGACGTTGCGGGGAGGGAGGGGGCCTGGCTGCCAGGAAGCTCTTGGCAGCAGTGGTTTCTCTGGGGTGAAAGGGCTGATGGCCGTTGACTAATAAAACGCTTGTGAACTGATCCTGGTCTCAGAGAAACCGATTATGTCCTTAAAGCAGCGGTTCTCAACCTGTGGGTCTTGACACCTGTGGCGGTCGAACGACCCTTTCACAGGGGTCGCCTAAGACCATCCTGCATATATTTACATGACGATTCATCACAGTAGCAACATTACAGTTATGAAGTAGCAACGAAAATAATTTTATGGTTGGGTCACCACATGAGGAACTGTAGTTAAAGGGCCAGAAGGTAGAGAACCACTGGTCTAGACTCTTGGTTCTCACTCTGGATGAGGCATCGGAACCACCTGGAAGGTTGTCCAGCTCCAGCTCCCAGGCTCCCTTGCGGCTGGGCCCTGCCCCGGGGTTTCTCATTCAGAGCGTGCTGATGCGCTGGCCCGGACCTCACTGAAGACCCCGGGCTGTGCCCTGTGTCTCATCACCGCCCCCTGTGCACCACCCGCTCCGGAAGCCATCCTGCTCTCCCTGGCGGGTTCGCTGCTCCTCACGGCTCCCACCGGACTCTAGCATGACCCTCCCATGTCACTGTTTGCTTGTTTCTCAATGTCCAGGCACAGCTGACCCTTAGAGCACCTGGAAAGAGATGGCAGCTGGGACACAGAGGAGGAGAGGAATGGAAATAGTGCTGAGCCGGCCGGTGTGGCTCAGTGGTTGAGCATCGACTATGAACCAGGAGGTCAAACAGTTCCATTCCCAGTCAGGCACATGCCTGTGATGGAGGCAGCCGATCAATGATTCTCTCTCATCATTGATGTTTCTATCTCTCTGCTTCTCCTTTCCACTCTGAAATCAATAATATATATATATTAGCAACGAAATATATAGAGAGAGTCAATAAAATATATATAATTAATAGTGCTGAGTCCTGCGGGCCGACACTCCACGATCCGCCCCAGTGCGTCACTGTGGCTGGTCCTGCGTCACTGCGGCTGGTCCTGAGGCAGCCAATGCGTCACTTGTCAGGTTTTGCTGCTTTTCTGCGCCTGGAGCGGAAAAGCAACTGAGGCCCAGATGTTATCTTAGGGAGGAAGGTCAGGGGCCTGCACCGCGTGACCAGCGCCATGCGGGGAGGAAAGGCTATCCTGGGGGCACGTCCTTGTTTTCCCAGTTCTGCCCGT